AGAATATAGGAATATTTTAGTTAACTGGTTCATATTTTTTTGAAAAATAATATCAAAGTTTAATATTAAAAAAATGTAATTAAAAATTATGAAAAATGTCAATTTTGAAATATAGGGAACAGCTGACATTAAATACTCACACTTTAAATAAATATAAGAATTTCTATTTAAAAAAATGATTTTTATATAAAAGGAATGTTACTTATAAGATACAATTAAAATTTTCGCGCCAAAATAATTTACGCGGTAAAATAGGTCAGAAATTTCACTATGTGACTGATTAGTAGTCATATGTAATAAAGGGAAAATAAATAAAAGTATTTTTATAATACAATAAAATATGTTTTTCTTTTTTAATATTTTTAACAAAAAATTTAAAGTAACGTTTTGCGTACCGTTACTCGAAAAAACGCGTAGCCGTTACTCGTTACCTTTAAAAGAAGGTAACTAATGGCGTTCCTTTTCTTCAAAAAAGGTAACTAAGTTAGTAACGACGTTACTTTACAGCACTAGTATTAAGTCATAAATGATTATATTACAAAAAAAAGTTATAATTTTGGAAAAAAAATATAATATTAGTAAATCACAATTATATTAAGTCATTAATATTTGTCTTTTATCGATTGAGATCCAAATTCCCTTTTAGCGTCAACGTTATAATTGGGAGCAAAATATCCTAAGTCTATTTTATGCATAAGATGTTCAATCGGGAGGTTTTGGTCATTGAGAGTATAAAGCTGAGATATTTGCACTTTATTATATTTAGGGCTAACCTTTGACGTAGGTAGAATCCCTCGTTGGGATCCTCGGTAGAGATCCGTTTTCCCAGCTCTTCAAAGAAGGCCAGGTCATGAGTGTCATATTGTTTAGTGGTAGGAATATATAGTTGGCAGGTAGCGATGGCGAATATTTAGCGAGTTTATTCATCTCGGCGTCTAGTAGATCATCCTTATTTATACTAGAAGTGGCAAAAGGATCGATGCATTAGTAATCCTAGGTTAGGAATTACTCCCTCTTCCAAGGGATCATGGTAGAACCATCGGACCGTTTACCATCGGAATTGTAAAGACCAGTAGGCTAGAGGGTTGATGGGATGCCAGCAGATTTCAAGGTCCTGGCAATAGTATCATTGCATTTTGAATTCTTAATGAATCTGCCTCTATAGCGCTTGCAGTGCAAGAGTCACGGCCTTTGGAGTTGACCGATGTTTGACAGAGGATACATTAATAGGTTATCACCCTATCACAATTAAGTTTAAGACCGATGGCGTGACATAGCTCATCATTACTTAGGAACTGGTCAAGGTTTCGCTATCGGAAAGCCTCGAAAAATTCGTACCCGCTGTCTGCGGAAGTGGAGAAGAGTAGAGAATGGTTTGGCTCCTCGATTTAAGGTATGCAACTGAGTTTTCAACTAGAAGCTTATCCAGTCCTTCTGTAGTGCCCATGAGGGAGGACAAGATCAATTGCCTGCAGAAGTAAGGGGTCAGGATGTTTTGTTAGTGTGTGTATGATAGCCTGGCAAGACAGGCGAGAGGGTATGAACGCACTAACTGAAAGTAGGGAGAGCGACCTTATGCCAATGCCACCGGATTTGGTTGTTAAGATAGTCTTCAACCAAGATAGGCCAAGAGTATATCTTCTGTAAGGCGTTTAATCTCGAGCTCATGCGCAGAGACGTTGACATCATATTGAAAAATTCGCGACGATCGGGGTCTATATAAAATTTTCGGAATTAGAAGGTAGTTCTTGAATCGGAAGAAAGTTGGTGGGCTGGGAAGCGGGATAGTGTATCGCGCATGAGGGATATCTCTTGTGAAATATCGGCAAGGAACTTGATAAAGGACTCGTCTTTACCGAGATCCGAGATGTGTTAAAGAGTTCAATAGTGTATAATTGAAGATAAGATCATGATTAAGATCTATGATCCCAATGGGACAATATTCGCTCCTGTTTAGATTAATTCGCAGTCCCAAACTGCTCTCCCTGGATTTTATTATCTTGATTGCCTTCATCACTTCATACTGTGGGCAGCATAGTATACTATCGTCATATACCAATTATGAAGATTTAGCTTGCACCTCGTATCAGGCTATTAATGCCCAGATAGAACAAAAAGGTACCTAGAGGGTCACCATGTTGTATCCCATCGCTAGAAGAAATCAATCTATCTCCGAATTGAAGGTGCGAGGGACTAGCATCACATTCGAAGAAATTTTGAGTATTGAAATGCTCTACGCCTTAGAGAGTTAAAGGCGTTCGAAAAGTCTATAGTAACTAGGATATCGTCGCTGGGGTCTGTTTGTAAATACATCCGGGTCATGAGGGATACCTCACATCCACCTTTTACGTTGACCCCTAATTGATTCTAGTACATATGATGGGATATTGTGAACAATGGTTCCAATAGCGATAGGACGAATATCTTTATTAGGTTTATGGAAAGCGATAGCTCCGTATAGGAATGGAACAATGGCGGGTGGTATGCCTCCAGTAAGCATACAGTTGATTGGGTAATTTTTTCCAAAACGTCCTTTCTAACGTCGCTTGTGGTATAAGTGGCTGCAATTAGAGGAGCTTCATGGTAGGACAGTGTTTCGTCCTTAAGATCGTGTGGTGTTTTAGGAGAAGAGCTTGATAAGTTTGATCGTAGGTAGCCAGCTTATTGTCAAAGGTTGCCAGGCATATGGCGGATTTAACATTCAGGTTATCCAGTTTTTTAGATATTACCCTGGCCTTGGTGAGCAGATCATTTTTATCATCCTTAAAGAATGTAGCAATGGGATTAATGGGTAAGGAGTAGAAGTTGCATCCTTAATTTGCTGTGTCAGGGATTTTTTGCTGGCAAGATCAGGAACTTGTAATGTACAGGGTGTCTTGCCAGTGTTTTACAGAAGAATAATTATTTATCAAGTAAGTTAAGTTTTTCGACAGGTGTCTCGAAACTTGAAGCCTTGCTCTCTTGGGTAGTAAAATGGCAAATGGTTTTGGTGTCACTAAAAATATTTCTACATCTATGGGGTTGGCTGGATCAAACGTGGATTGCGCCAATGGAGGTAGGGACTGTTGGGCTAGTCAGCACATCAGCCAATGAGGTGGGAATGGTGGCTATGGGTTGTTTAGTTGTGAGAGCAAGGTCAGAAATGGCATTAAGGGTTCGACAAATGGCTGGTGATAAGATGGGTAGCCCAGATTGTGGATACTTGATTTTCTGGTTTCGATGATATGTCAATAGCCCCGATTTATTTACTTTAATAAGTTTATTACACAGTGGGCAGTTATATTTGGTAGGTGTTGTGCTGAGATCTGGTAGGCTCATGAATTTGAAATTTTTACCAGATTGAGGGTGATAGTGATTATCATTATTGTTACAATTGTGTTTATGGCTAAATATGTATTACTTTATAAATTAAAATTCATATAAGTAGAATGTGATGAAATTTATATTGTTAAAGTGACCATCAATCATATAGTCCATTGACTAATAAATTTAAAACTCTATATGGAATGATTTTATCAATAGTTATTATATTGCCAATTCCAATATCAAATAGGCACAATTTTGATACTCTATTCTCAAATGAGTTTATTATATGAGATCATGATATGAAAGCTTTAATTGCAAAGATGATTTCATAATGGGGTAATTGATCTATATCATTATTAACAGAATTATTATATGGTGGAATTTGTGATGGAGAGGGAGGAATACAGATGGTGAGTAACCTGAGTGCGTATACTTGAACACCTAGATTCAATAGAACAGTATAATATGCCTCAAGGAGGGCAAAGGCCCTTATTTAACATTCGACTTTGTGATCAATTTGGGTGATTGTGTAATTTAGGATCTCAAATTTATTTGATTGAAATGATTTATAAGATATTAGATTAGAGTGAATATAATGTTATTTTAAGTGGTTTTTAAATGATTAATATATATTTTGTCTTTATTAAATTATAACTTGAAGATTTTGAAATTGATGGTATATATTTTGGACATTTTACATTTAGTAAGGATCGAATTAGCTCTTTGAATAATATGATACTGTAAAGTATTTATTATTTTGGGCCATGATATTGTTAATTCATCTGATCCTGAATTTTTAGAATGAGATGATGATTAGATACCAACATCATCCATGCTTATGCTAACCTATAAAATATCAATAATATTAAAATTTATAACATATAATATAGAATAGATATAATGATGGGTTTAAAAAATTCAAATGTGATAAAGGAACAGCTGATTAATAAACAACCCTTTTTCTTAAAAAATTTGGATTAATATTATTTATTTTCAAATGAATAATTCAAAGTTCGTCAAAATAGAAGGAACGCCCTTTATATTTTTTTCAAAAAAAACGAACTTCTTCACGAATGTGTTCCTTTACAACATTATATAATATCGACTTTATAAAATCTAGACTTTCAACTTTCATTGCTGGAATCGGAACTATATTTTATTTTTAAAGAACACTAGTAAACAAAAAATTTAATCTTTAAAATCTAAATTTGAAAAAATGTTTAGGCCCTGTCCTAGGTCGACTTATTACTAAATAACCGACTATTTCATTTCAACTAAATATTCAAAAAGGCAAAAGAAAGATTTTTTAAAAGAAAGTAAAAAAACCAAAAAAACGAGGCTAAAATACAAAAAATAACAATGCCACCAAATACTAAAACAGACCAAAATAGGGTGTTTAAGTTCAACAGCTTTTTAGCCTAGATTAAAAAACAATTTAATATCAAAATTAAGTCGTTGCAGGACACGGCCTTATTACTTAACCCTCATTAAAAAAATCAAGAATCGAAATTTCTGCTAGATTTGGAAGAGATTTAATGTATAATCTAAAAATTTTTATAGAACTAAAACTATAATAATTTCATATTAAACATATTATTAATGCTCAAATTTGAGAAATAGAAAAATTAATCGATCGCACTAAATATGGTTCTTAATTTTATTACTAACATTATTCTTTAAAAAAACAAACTAAGTGCTGCGCTATTTCTTTCATTGAAAATTTAAACAGTCAAACGCTCAAAATCAGTGACCGTGAATTTCAGGCCAGAATGAATGGTGACAAGAGCCTTTCCAGCCTATCAAACCTACCTGTTAACATTGAGGACTTTCCCCAAAGTGTCACTCTTAACTCACTCATTCATAAGCAAACCCAGGTTATCCAAGAATCGGAACAAATGACTAGGGACATATTGTTGTTTAAAGATAAGATGATGGATAAGTTTAGAGATTCTTATGAAGGAGCTTCCTTCTAACACATTCATAATTGAATTATTTATAGGATTGTTATTTCGAATCCTATGAGACAAAATTAAAGCACCCATGCAACTGCGAAATAACTAATTGCTATGCCAATGAATGAATTAATGGATAAAATAATAATGATCTTAACTGCTCAACTTTGAGTCATATAAATCGAGCATTGAAGTTATTATTATAGTCAGTCGTTATTGGTGCTTGGCTTAATTTTTAAAGCGCATCATATTTGTTCCTTTAAATTTTTGAATGCTTTTTATATCACACATATTTCGCTCCAAAATTATATAACTACATTAAATGATAATAGTGGTTTTTAAAATGTTTTGTTTTCAAGTTTGATTCGCCTTTGCAAATGATTATGTCAGAAATATGGGTTTTATCTCATGGATCATCAAAATTTCAGTTATTACTATAAATAATAGTAACCTTTTTAATTAATTGCCACAGTAAATTTGCAAGAACCACTCCTGGTTTTTCTAATATTTTTGATAAGAAGAACGTTCACTCATTTTCTTTAGAAACTATTGTTTTATTTTCAAGCTCTCAAATACAAAATTAAAGAAAAATTAAATCACTTTTGTGTCTTCTACAACTATTTTTCAAATTTGAATGTTCCTAAACCTCTTGAATAAAGTATGAATATTTATAATTTATTGTATTTAACCATTATAGGCGAAAATAATATTCTATGTAACCTATAAAATAAAATGGAATTTATGACCGTCCAAAAAAATACATAATATTATATACCCCCCTCATAAATCAAAATTTATATAATCGACGAATTGTTCTATACGCAAAATCAACTTACAAAAATATTGTTTATGATATTTGTTATAATATATCTTATATGTAATAATATTTATTTAAAAAAATTTACACAAATAGTTAAAACATTTGATTAAATTGAATATTAAATTTTTCGTTTATTTCTTATTGAAAATAAGAAAAATATTTTGATAATATAATTCACTCGAAAATGAGCAAACATCCATTCTTTCAGAACCCTTTTAAACCTCTTCTAAGTTAATGTCGCGCTTGCCCCCCCTCACGAATATTTTATTTATATTTTACAAAAGGAAAATATATTATTCGTCAGTTTATCTATTTCTTCATTTTTTGAAAATATTTAATTTTCGAATCGAATAAAGTTTTTATTATTCGTGCAATAATACAATTATTCGATTTTTTTTATTATTCATACTTAAATACAACTATTCGTTTATAATACGAACAATGTAAATATTTCATTCCTATTTTTATAGGTAGGAGAGACCGGGATGTTGTGGCTTTATTTTCTAGAATATTAAACTCTAAGGACTAAAAATTTTTTTACCATATATAATCATATAATGAATATGCACTATAATTTTTATTTCTAACGGACAGCTTGAAGAAATTTTATAATGCATTATATGATTTGTGCCTTCAAAATTAGCTTTCTAGAACTTTACTAATTTTTAAAAATAAAGATTAATATACATTTTTACCACCCAAAAAAACATCTTTTATAAAAGAAAAATTTCTTATTTTATAGAATATTAATTTACCGAACAAAAGAGGTATTAAAAATGTTTTAAAATATGATTTTAAATGAGAGTAATGGCACAGAGCTATCTTTATGGGGTTAAGAGGAGCCTTTTTAGTCATTTAAAAAAAAATTATACAAGTTTAGAAATTATAAATTGATAATGATATTTAGCCAAAATTCATTATTAATTGATAAAATGAACATTACTACCTTAGTTATGCCATAATCAAACATAATTCAAACTCCAAATGAAAAACAAGAATTTATTTTATCTAATATAAGACAAATTTTTAAAGTCAACAAGAATCAATACCTTAAAAGTATTTTCTAATATGTCTAATGGGCTTTACCCTAAAAAATAAAATTGTCAATAAAGATTATATTATAATGTATCTAAATAAGGACTAGAAAATTTGCATATGAACTTATAATCCTATTATATTACCAGCTTTGCAGGGGCTACTAATTTTAATAAGGAAATATAAATAAATTTTTTATAATCATAAAAATAATTTTGATGATACAATAATAACTGCAAATGAAATCTTTAATATGGATAAAACAAGTAAAAATGTTGATTTATTTAAGGCATATAAGTTAGGAATATTTATTCAAATGTAAGAATTAGGCATAAAATTAATGAATTTATAAGCAAATATAATCTATAATATTAAAACCCTACTTTGTTTTTAAACTATAATTATAAAATATTCATTAATAATTTGCAAACTAGATAGTAATATTTCAATAAGTTATATGATCTTTATAAAATTCTAATTTTTTGAATATAAAAATGATTGCAATTGATAATTTGACAGATAATATGCATATAATTAATATTTATACGTTTATGCTATTATTATATGAATTATTATTATAGGTCGCTAAAGTTTTAGCCATGGCACTTGCTTGAAAAATATAATATTAACTCTCCCATCATTCAATCATAAATTACAGCCATTAGATAAAACAGTGTTTGGCCCATTAAAAAGATATTATAATTCTTCAGTTGACTCTTGGGTGACCAATTGTTTTACAATATATTAATATACCAGGGATATTTTACCTAAAACATGTGCTTCAGCTACAGTTCAAAGTGATTTCAAATCATATGGAATTTGGCCATTTAATCCTATAATTTTTAATAAAAAATACATTAATGAAGGATTCACTCAATATTTTAAACTATGAGAAAACTAATTATAATAATAGTGTTTATGATATGTCACTGAGTTAGACAAGATGAGTTTGTATTTATAAATGATTTTATATATTATCTTTATGCCTTAAATCATTAAATATGTTGTATAATAAAAAAAATATATAACCATTTATGAGAAAAATTAGAGTTTAAAGTAGCCCCGAGAAAAGGTTCGTTTGTCTCCGGGCATGGCCCACTCTTCCTACTCCCCTCTCACCTCACATATTTTTATTTTCTTTTAATTTTATTACTTTAGTGTTCGACAAGCCCCTCCCCCTAGATTATAATAACGAAAATTACTTGCACCTTTTCCATGTTAAAGGTTGTTTAATATGTTATTGGTCATAATTTCATGATCTAGAAGAAAAAAATTAATCATAAAAAGTAACTTTGGACGGTTTATGTTAAAATTTTTAATTGAGCGTTTCATTATATTTGATATCAATTCATTCAAGAATATTGAGTCAGTTTGAAAAATAAGAAAGATAATCGGAATTGTCCATAAATTTATTAAATTAAGTAACAATTGGTTTTTTAATAATCTTGATTGGTTATTTTTTTAAAGAATTGATTAGAATATATTTTTTTTAATTAAATGCATTTTATAAATTTTTTTAAAATAAATTTCAATTTAGCCTCATCAAATCTAATAATATTACTGAACCCATAGACTTAAGAAAAACGTCTAAATAATCGATATCTTGAAAATAACAACCTCTATATTAATAAGTCTATGTTTATAATGATCTTAAATATTTCATTATTTAATTTTTTTTTATATTTTATTTAAATCGCATATAAATTGCAAGATATTTCTTCCAAAAGAAGAAATAATATAAAAATATTTAACTATTGTATAAAAATTCAAATTTTAAGAAATCTAGAAAATTAATTTTATAAATTAAACAATTTTTATAAAAAGAAAATAAGGTAACAAAAAAATTTCCGCAATATGGGACATTAAAATTTAATTTATATATTTTTTGTATAATAAAAATGGCGGTATAATTTACATCTTAATATGAATATATATTTTATAATATAAAATAACCTAAATTTAAAATTCATGTAAAAGTTTTTTTTATTTTATTGGAAGAATAGATAAAATTGATAATTTACAAAATGCAAGAAAAATTAAAAATAGCCATATAATTCATGAAAGCATAAAAGATTATAAAAAAGAGGAAAATAAGATTTATATAATAAAAAAAAATTATTGGTAAAAATATATTTCTAATATTTATTTTTAAATTTACTTTCTTTTCTTGCAAAATTACGAAATAAAATGTTTTTTTATCTAGGAACTATGAGTTTAATTATATTTGGAAATGACTAAGGGATCTTAATTCCTGATCTAGCATCTGCTGTTTAAAAAAATTATCCTTTAACTGCATACGTCCAGGTAAAATATTTTTATTGCTAATTGGAAACTTAGATAAAATTTTTTTTAAATGATAAGCATTTTGATTCAAAGCCACATCCTACTTTATAATAAGTGATAAGTAATAAAAATAATAGAAAAAGAAATCGGAATGGAGTTATTAACATAATTAGATTAAAAAATAGCAAAGAAATATGCATGTTAAAAAATAATATTAATTAAAATTATATTTTTTTACTCATGATGATATCATAAAAATTATCCAGAATTCAATAATAAAGAATATATATCATTACAATTAATTGTTACTTTAATATAGAATTGCTTTTTAAATTAATAAAAGTATTGGATTAAATAAAACTTATTTCTTCCATTGAAATTGCCACATATAGGCCATTTAGATCGTAAATATTTTGTTAATGCATAAATTTAATAATCTGGTAAAAACGGATTTATTTAAATGTTAAATTAAAATTACCAGGATTATGATTATAGATATTGGATAAAAAGATTCATTTGAAAAATGTGATTCTAAGACATGAAATTTTTTGGTTTAAAAAACTCTATTTTAACTGTATGGGTACACTTACTTAAAAGAACCTTATTATTAATTGCTAAATAATTTAAAAAATAATTATTATTTTGATTCAAAACCACACCCTATTCTTAAAAATAATAGCAAAAAAAGTAAACGATATTAACATTATGTCAGTAAATTAAAAAATAATAATTAAAATTAGAATTATATTTTTATTCATGATATAATAATTCATATTGTTAAATACATTATTGAAGTCCAATTTAAAAAGTGTTAGATTGATGTAACAGGTTGCGTGTGGTATGTGATAGAACTTCAAAAAAATCTGAGCTTAATTGAAGTATCTACCCTTTTTGGATAGTGCAATGAGGCGAACACCAAATATTAAAAGTAGAATGCATGATGAAACAAGGTTATTAAGAAGTTAGGGCTGATATTAAGTGTGTTGGCATTGAAGAATTATCGTGAATAGAAATATCATTGAAATCATACTTTATTAATAAATTACATTAAATAAATAAATTACATTTTGTGTTCTCATATTTTTTATAAATGATATTATTCTTTTATCTCCCCTTTAACAAAAAAAAATTTTCTTTTTTTAAAAAATAATTAAATCATAAAAAATAAAAATGTTCATTTTTGAATTTAACAAGTTATAAAATATCAAAAAAACATCAATTGCAACGATAAAATAAAACGTTAATATAAACAAAAATAAAATCTCGCCGAAAGATATGCAATAGATTTTAAATCGACATATCTAACAAACGATAATAAAAATTGTCCGTATGTAATGCGTTACTTTATGATAAAATTAAAGATTTTTTTATATTATTATTTATTTTCGTTTTTATCGAAAACGCGGTTAAATTAAGATTATTATTTATTTACGCTTTCGAAAACGCGTTTAAATTAAGATTATTATTTATTTACGTTTTTATCAAAGACGTGATACTTTAACAGGCATGAATTGGATATGTAGGGTTGAATATCTAATATTAATGATCAGATGAAAATATATTTTGTCAGCTATCCTTATGGAAAGATTTGTTTTATTAATGCAATATGTCATATATTATATATTATAAGTTAATAAAAATAATATGCACCAAATATCTTATAAT